AAATAGGGTGAATACATCTCATTACACTGAGTTACTGGTAGTCTCGAAACCCTACTTTAATACGAAAAATACTTAACCAAGGATGAGTTAAGGTTGTAAGGTTATGCTTAGTACTATCTCCTGTTTCTGACAGTATTTGTTATGGGTAAGTTTAGAGCTTAACATAGATTTATTGTCTTCATGAAACGATGCATCCAAAATTACCTCCCCATTTTATGCGCAGCCAAAAAAACTCAGAGACACTCATATTTTGATTTATAGTGATCCTGACACATGAAGCGCTTTAACTAAATTTTTCATGCGAGCCTAAAGGTCTGGTGGCTTTAAGAAGGTTGCTTCCTTGTGAACCTTATTCCTAACATTTGATTGACTCTTAATTTAAATGTTAAATACCGATAATTCGGTTCATCAAACCGTAGAATTTTAATTTTCTCCTGTTTTTGACTTAACTTCATAAGTAACTAGTTTCCGTTATATGAGATATCTTGAAACTCTGCTAATTAACGAAAAATATATATCTTATATCTAGGCCATATTTGACTAATCTAGTCTATTTTTTCCTCCTCTCCACTTTAGGTTGCACAGCCAAGTGAACTAACTCTCACAGCGACTGACCATCCTTCACTTGTCCTCGTGGAGTCGCCATTTAGCATTAGCTGCGATGTGAAAAATAACGGGTTAGGCATTTTTTTCAATTGGTAAAAACATCTGTAATTACTCGTGACCTTTACTCATATCAATGAATGTAACATTTCTCTTGGCTTTTGCTTCATACTTAAGAGCAATTAGGATATGCTACATGGAACATGGAATTCGAATAATCTCTTGTCATATTTAGGCTGATTAGATAACTTGTGGTATTAGGTCCCATTAGACTTCTATTTTCTCTATCTTCTTTATATTTTGACAGTTATCGCTCATTATATACTTTGTGCTGTTGAGTAAATACATTTATTTATGTCAAATTTATTGAAAATATAGCAAATCAACCTAGGGTATTTAAAGCTTCATTCGGGAGAGGAGAATGAAAATAAAAACAACATATGTGGATAATTGGCTTTTCTTTTCACAACAGCACTATTCAATATTTTTGGTTGTTCCTTTTTGTAAATAGGAGATTGATGTGCTGGATCGTCGAACAGAAACTTGACAAAACCAAGCAATTCCTAAATATAGATTGTTTTTCTTTCTACTCTACATTTTTTATCCCTCTCTAAATTTAAATTAGTTGTTGTCTAAGTGAATTCTAAGGCTATTCCGCCTACTTTGTATTCTCTTCTTCTTTACCTGAACAGAGCTATCTCCTTAAAAACTGTTTATAAAATTTAACTACTTTATTCCATTTTTATCCACCTCTCATATACCTTATTAGTTCCCGCTGCCTCGAGCTGGCTCTTGATCTGCCTTCTTTCCCACCTCAACTCGCGCTTCCTTCTCACACTAGACCGATTAGTTTCATCTGGCTTGGCAAAACTACTCGTAGGCTAGGTTCCCTGCCCCCTGGCCGTTCGATGCTTCTGACATTGGACTGCATGGCCATCGTTCCTGGGTTACAGGTATGTCGTGACAAATCTGAGTTCATCTATAAGCAGATGCAATATTTCTATGTATAACATTTTAAGTGAGTTAGCCAGAAGGCGAAAAAAAGTAGTTAAAACACAATAATAGAGGAAGGCAGGAAGGGAAATGCAGATAAGCATCGGCTATACATAAAGTGGATGAAGCAAAGTGACAGGTTCTTGGTGAGTTCTTAAGAGAAGTAAGGGAAAGGGAAGACATGAGCAAACGGAAGAGGCCAAATAGACAGAGAAGCGTGTGACAAAAGACTCTTTAAATAGAACTATTTCGAATATAACC